AGAGAGAGACAGACAGACAGACAGACAGACAGAGAGAGAGAGAGAGAGAGAGAGAGAGAGAGAGAGAGAGAGATAGAGAGAGAGAGACAGACAGACAGACAGACAGACAGAGAGAGAGAGAGAGAGAGAGAGAGAGAGAGAGAGAGAGAGAGAGAGAGCGCGCAAGAGGAAGAGAGGGGGGTAGACAAATTACGAGTAATTACAAAATGTTAGTTTTCTTTCCGAGTGAAACGGGTTCTCCTAATAGTCGTCTTGCTGGTTTATTGTGCGACTATCATTTAATTAAGTATTGCATGTAGTTAAAAACGTGAAAAGTGGCCGCTTATGTACAATGATTAAAGGTAGCCTACATTAGGTTTCAAGACGTAACTATTTTAGTTGAGAACTTTGATTGCATGGTTTGATTGTTAGTACGCGATACCCAAAACGTCAAGAAACGCAAAAACGTCAGAAAACAAAACAAAAAAACAAAGCATAAATACTATTCAAATATATATGCATACCATATAAGCGCAGTGATTTTTTAATATTGACGATCAGGAATTTAGGAAGTTAAAGATGTACAGGGCCGTAGCATGTGGGGGGGCAAGGGGGCAGCTGCCCCCTAGGTTTTGGAGCGAAATTAAAAAATAAGCTTAGCTAATAATCGTATATAACCCTAACGTAATTTTTTTTGTCACTATCCGTGAAAGCCTTGTCTCAGACCCACCCCTATCACACTATGGACGTTGATCAAGAGCTGCGCCAGTCGCTCATCATTACAACGTTCAGTCATGAAATTTTGCCTCCCCCCACTAGGAATTTGTTCAGCTTACGGCCTTGATGTAGAAAGATATCTTTTAAAGTTTGCCATACTCTCGCCTATTGAAACCCGATGTTGGATGAGATGCATCAAAGCGTGGAAGTTATATGTTAGCTTGTTTCCAGTTAGTTGTGGCTCCGCTTGACCGCTTTTGTGGCACGTGAAGTGTTAATATACTACCCCCACATAACTATCCTGCTAACATACAGACTAACCGGTATACGCCCGCGTTCCCAAGGGCGCGAGGTGTTCGCGAAAGAATTCATCGTAAGGGGTGCATGTAACTACTGTGCGGAAGGATTTATACATGCCATCAAGCTAAATGAACAAAGATACGCGAATCGAAGAAATGGAGAGCGCTGCAATTTTAAAAGGTTTGTTGGGTTTCAATGCATATGCTATTCGTTTATATTATGTCATTTCTCGCACTTATATTTGTAACAACTGCAGCGCAAAGCGGTCAATGTGAAACGCATCGCAATATGGGTGGCTGGCGGTTTACCTGAATGAGGAATGCGTTTTCTATCCACTTGAATTGATAATTGGATCCCACAAACATGAAAAGATTGATTCTCTATGAGGGTCCGAGGTCCGTATCAAGGGGGGGAGGGGTCGAAAAGGAGTCGGAGAGTCATAGGATGACCCCCAACCCTACCTTGACAGCCAGTGGTCCCCTTTCTTATTCCAGTCATTTAACAAATTACCCTAAGCCTAAACTTGTCCTGAACTAATTGTTTTCACCAGTTTCTTTAGTAAACTGAATTATCCATATAGAGTGCGTTAGCTGTACATATAACAAATCGCAAACAGGTCAAAACAAAAGAGGGAGATGCAGCCCTACTAATTACTATATCGTTTGGAGGTAATTATATGTCAGGGGCGATCTGTGTGATGAAACTTCTATTGTCTTTCGTCGAGCAACCGTGCGGTGTTCATGCAGAAATTTGGAAGATTTGCCATTCTGCCAATGCACAGTCTCATGATGCTGATTCAGGAATAATCCGTCTGATAATCCGGGTATTGAAGGCACAGTACTATTTAGCACAAATTATGAAAATAGGCAGAAAATAACCAAAACAACAATGTTTCATAAGGGCACATGTTTAAAAAAATCAACAAGAAATGCAGACTACCCTCTAACCCTAAGTACGAGTCAGAGGTTTAAATCGAATAATATAGTTTTATGTATTACGTTCTCTGATGGCAAAATACAAAGCATACTGTGCGTGACTGTAGAATACATATTGTACCGCTGACATGATAATATCGCCATCGGCTATATCATCTGAGCAGTTTTTTTTATAGCGTTTAATAAATAGCTAAGCAATGAAGCAATGGTGTCATGAGAGAATCATCATCAGAATATATTTTAATACATAGCTAAGCGTTGAAGCGTTGAAGTACTCGGCAAATATTTCAATTTCTTACTAAAATCTCATATTACTCCCTACGTAGATGCCTACCATATTTTCATACAATAACTATAAAACTGCGGGTATGCAACTGCCAAAATCAATAGTGACACCCACAATCAATAATAAGTTGTAGCGATAATCGGCTTAGATACAAATATATCGAAAAATGGTCAAAATATGTTTCCGGAAATTCTCGAAAAAAGCTCTAAATATCTCGTAAAAAATTTCCAAAATATCTTCATACATATCTTTGTTAGTTTGACGTTTATGCGAAGATTTGCGTTAATATTCTTTATGAAGAGTTACATTACGGAAGCGGTATGTGCCTGAACTTCGCAACGATCCGTATATTTACTATCCGATAATATTGGATTACTATCTAGCATTGGGATTGTAAGATACATTATCGAAGAGTAACACCGCTGGATAGAGTTATATTGCTGGCTCGGGTTTATCAAAGAAAAACCCAGAAAATCCCCAAATGATGCTTTAAAAGTCGTAAATATTCTAGAAAATTAAATATTTTCTAAATATCTCGAAATTTTCTAAATATCCCCGGAACTTCTAAATAACTCAAAAAATATCCGGATATTTGTATCTAAGCCTAAGGGATATCGTGCCTATTAAGAATTAAGAGCGCCCTGACTGCGTACTGTTGCGGCAACTGTACGCGTATGGCAAGCATTTTGTATAATAATTCAATAAACCAAGTTTCCTCGCACGAAACCAGGTTTCGTGCTCACAAAACCTATAGTTTCTTGCTCAAGAAACCAGGTTTCTTGCCATGAAACTAGGTTTCATGGCATGAAACCTGGTTTCTAGCGCTAGAATCTTAGTTTCTTGAGCAAGAAACTAGGTTTTGGGAGCAAGAACTATAGTGGCGTCTACACTATAGACTAAAACCCGGGTTTTCAAAACCCGCGTTTTAGTAATAGTTAAGCAAGAAACTAGGTTTTGTGAGCACGAAACCTGGTTTCGTGCGAGGAAACTTGGTTTCTCGAATTATGATACAAAATGCTTGCCATATTCGCGGGCTATAGTACTAGAGCTATGGTTAGCACTACCTTTGTAACTATCCGCCATCGTCCTACTAATAAAGTTGCTTAACCAGTTTTTGTCCTTTTTCATTACTGCTAAAAGCCCATATTTATCGCACCTCTTCTATCCGTACCTATAGGTGTTGTCTCATCCGTAATAATCAAATTCAATAGGTTATAAGAATATTATGGTTGTTCATGCTTTAACTTTTTTTTTTTTTACTTAGTTCATCTAAATAGAAGCTTCCAAAATAAATCCAATATGAGTTGATGGGACATTTCTTATACGCAGAAAATACAAAGCAAATCTCAAAATGTATGAATTTGTACAAAACGCGCGCACACCCTCGCATCGCACACTTGAATGAATGTGTGCCAACACGCACACACACACACACACACACACACACACACACACACACACACACACACACACACACACACACACACACACACACAAAATGTATGTACTCTCAATATTCTAATATTATAACCATTTAAGCGATAAATCTCAAATGAAATTGATTGTTATGCTAAATACATATTTCATCTGTGTCGCGGGCGGTGCTGCTTTCAGCGCCGTTCCTCTTCTCGTCGCGGTTTGCACTGGCGCTGGCTGCCTTCTTCGGCTTCGTCGTACTCTACATTCAGCGCTTTAACATGAGCGTCGCTATCGTCTGCATGGTGAACAACACGGCCGTGAGGGCAGAGGCCGGAATCGACGCTGACGGCGATCTAGAAGGCGAGACTGGCGACCGCTGTCTGGCGACAGTCACGCTATCTAACGACACGACTGACGACGAGGTATCGCCGCGTATTGGTTATTGAAGTTTAATTATTATATTACTAATAATATTGATAATTATTATTAAGGTTATTGAACCCTATTAGTTTTTCTTATTTTTGACGCTAGGGCTAGACGAATATCATATTATATCGCCATAGAACGGGAAGAAAATGATATTATATTAGGAGTAATGAATGCAATGAAACGGTTGTTTTCATTTGCTCCTGATATTAATAGAGCTAATAATACAGTTAATAATAACAATGTATTATTAGCTCTTCATATTATAGATGTGTTATTTCATCGTTGCAGACGGGAGAGTTTGTATGGAGCAAACCTACACAGGGTATCGTCTTGAGCGCCTTCTTCTGGGGTTATTTGCTAACACAGCTACCTGGTGGTTGGCTGGCGACATACCTTGGTGGCAAACGGGTGTACGGATATGGTCAGCTACTTGCCTCTGTCATGGCGCTTCTAGCTCCGGTAGCTTCCAACTATAGCTACAAGACGCTGCTTGTAGTTCGTTTCATACAAGGCATTGGCCAGGTACTCGTACTAGTTTGTATTTTGTAAAACTAGCAAATGTCGCAGATCGCTCATAGGTAAAACGCAACGAGTTGTGTGAAAAGTGATCATACATGGAATCACAAGCAACTCGTTTTCTTTTGCATTTATGATATTTGCGAAGATATCTCTTATTTGAAGACATATTAATTAAAAACAGCAAGGCCGGAATGTACTGACTGCAGGACCATCTTTACTCAACACTCGCTCCTATCACATCTATATCCATATCTATCTATCCATCCATCCATCTATCTATCTATCTATCTATCTATCTATCTATCTATCTATCTATCTATCTATCTATCTATCTATCTATCTATCTATCTATCTATCTATTCTAGCTAGCTCAGCTATAAATCTACGTCCTATCTCATCCTTCCTATCTATCCTAGCTAGGCTAGCTATCTATACTATCTATTCTACTCTATTACTCTACTCTATCTCTCTCATATATATATATTCTTATCTTATTCTATCTGATCTATCATCTACCTCTACTTCTTATTCTCATGCTATCTCATCGTATCCTAATCTATCTACCCCGTCGTGAGGTGTGCGTAGTCGTGGAGTCATCTATTTAATCCTATCTATCTATCTATTTATCTGGCATAGCGTGAGCTTCTATCTACTTCATACTCACTCTTCAATCCTATTATAGTATTGCACTGTGTGTGTGTGTGCTGTGGTCGTCGTGTGTCGTGTGTGTCGTGTGCTGCCTCGTGTGTGTCGGTGTGTGTGTGCTGTGTGCTGTGTGTGTGTATAAACAATGCTAATTATACATCAGATACAGCTGTACAAGCAGCGCGAAGATCGATCCTCTAGCAGTCAGGCGTTGCACGAGAGCTGACCATAATCAATCCTTCCTGTCAATTGGCCGTAAAATGCTACACGCCGTAATCGCAGTTGCAATAACATTGTTCGAAAGCACATACTCTAACGTTGTGACCTGGGGAGACGAGCACTAAACAATTATTAATTCTACAATACTATTAATTTACAACATTCTATATCTTTATATATTCTATTCGATACATATACATATTATCTTAACAAGGAATTTAATGTGTTGAGATGCGATAATCGATTACTGTTAGGTGTGAAGTTATATTATATAAGTCCTCATCTATTATTTAACGTTTTAAAATCTGCATGAAATATAAAAAAGGAGTGGTCCTTCCCAGGCCATGCACGTATTCTGGGGGACTTGGCTCAAGTATCATAATGAAAGAAGCCCAAGCCTTGGTGAATTTCACCATACAGCGTGCCACGTAAGTAAAATCGTGAATGTCGTGAACACGTTGTGACGTATTACCCTTACGTAATAAAATACTTGCCGAACAGAGGCAAGCTACTAATATCTTCAGCTATATCCGCGATATAATTTATACCTATATGCATCATTGTGCGCGGCCGAATTGTCACGGGGATAGATTTTTTTATTATCAACTATTTCTGAATAGGTCTTTCATGCTGCTAACCTGCTCTCCACTGTTTTACCGCTCTCCGCCCTTATCTCTTTCTCAACATTCTCTAAATCATCTTCTTCAGTGCGCTCGGTAGCTCCACCGACTCGGATAGTGCTCATTTGCTATTGCCTTCCCTCTCCAGCCTACCCCGGTCGTTCCAGTGGACTCATGCACATTCACGTCCGCCTTCCGCACCTTCTACAGGCCGCCTATAGATGCGACACCACGTGCTTTATTGCCAAATGCGTTTACTGAAACTAATTGTGTAAGATTTAACTGAAGAACGATGGGGCACGAGCCCACGTCGAGTGGCAGAGGGTTGTGTCCATTACATACTACACACATATACACCCATACACATACACACCACGCAGAGTCCTGTCAAGCGCATCCCGCACGCGCACGCAGCAAGAGACGCACAGACGCACATGCAGCGCACACTCCACCACGCACACACAACACACACACGATGCGCGAGCACCAACACACATCAACACGCACACCTTGTCGCGGACTGGAGACAACCATGTCCGACACACACTGCGGGCGCGGGGGCGGGGCGTGTCACACGGGGGGTGCGTACGAGGCGATGCGCGGTCACCGGCGGCGCGACACAGACAGCAGCACAGGCACGACGCTAGAGGGCTTCAGCGGCGTGGGGCGGGGGCGCGCGCCGGGCGGCGCGCAGCGGGCGCGCGGGTTAAAGGCAGCCAATTTGAGATGTGCTGCAAGTCAATGGTCCCAGGGCTTACAGGGCTCGGGTAATAGGGTGCCATTTTCAGGAGATGTCAGGAGTATATCTGGTCCTCGCCTCCGCATCGCAATTCGTTGGCCATTTTTAGTGTAGAGTCCTCCATTTCCTGCATAGAGGTGCCCTGCATCGACCAGACTTGTCCCAGGCTCGTGGAGGGCGATTTAGACATAACCACGAGCGCTCGGCCATACCTCGTTGGCTCCCGGGTGGAAGGAATTTCTGGGTCTGGTGAAAAAGCTTAATGTCCGAGCTATGCGCTGAAGATGCGTGTGAGTGCCCCAATTTAGGCGATCCTGTATGTTTTGGGAAGGTTGCCATGCAGGGTTGAACGCGTGATGAAACTGTGGCCTGGACGTTGTAGTACTCTTCTTTAACACATGTTTCAGTGTGGAAGAGGGCGGTTGGCGAAGGTCATTTTCTAAATGGTTTAGAGTGTGTCTTTAACTTGGGAGAACCATTCGTCTAAACTGTGTGGAGGAGCAAGTGCCCACAGGAGAGCGAGTAGACGGTTCATCCTCACGTTGGTTGTCATGAAGAGCGAGTGCGCGGAGAGAGTGTTCTTGCAAGCAATGTTTCAAGGAACTGGGTGCGAGAGTTTTGGCAGCATGGGACCATACGTCCAGACAGGGCACGCATACTCAGAGCCGCAGAGTAGCACAGGGCGATAGCAGTGGTTGCTGATTGTTCCGACGTCTGTTCCCCAATTTAGCTAGTGGACGAGAGTGTGCTTTAAAAGCGTGTTTCTGGCATGCGCACGTGGTGGCAATATGATCGCGGATATAGAATGATGATGAGGAGTATATATAATGGTGCGAGCGAGAGAGAGCGCGAGCGTATTACGTCAGCGCAAAACAAGACCTGGGTACCCGGGGTATCTCTAATATGTAACACAGGGAGAGAGAGCTAGTGTAGAGACAGGGGCTGGTTCGGTCTCGGCGCGAGAGTAGAGCATGCAATGCCGGCTAGGGTTGTTGGACGATAGGTGGAGTGTGAAGCAATCTCATTGTGAAAGTGGGCAAGATCTCTGCACACAAAATGGTTGGTGTGGCGAGTGTTCGTATGGGACATGTACTAGTGACTGCGTATGACTATACACGTTGGTTGGTGGTATGCAAAGAGAGTGAGGGAGCCGAGGAACGGTCAGATAAAAATATGAAGAACGTGGTTGATAGAAAACACCGGGTTGAAATCCTCGCTTTGAACATATGTATTTCTTTTGCCATTTTCGCAGTATTTAAGTTTTAATTACCTTTAAATTACGCTTAATAGATTAAAAGTTTTATTAACCTTTTAATTACCCTTTATTACCTTTTAATTTAAAGTTTTAATTACCTTTATATTTCGCGTATTAACACAAAAGGCCTTTATCTATATTAAACTTCGGCCTTCAGGGTCACAAATTGGAGAACATCATCCGTTTTTCCGCTTGTCCGCTCTACTGTGGGTCAATAGTATTGAGTGTATGCTATCTTCCTATATATGTGGTAAGAAATTATGCTATATCATCTTCAAGATCGTTTGGATGAATTCTATTCTACTAGTAAAATGTTAGTATGCGATTAGTTATGTGTATACCTTTGCATATATTCCTTTAGTTCATTTGGGATTCTGTGGTTTATCGGTGTTGGATGGTCGTTGTTTAGATGAACAGTCCGGCAGTGTCATCTCGTATATCCGTGCAATGGAAACGAGAATACATAGAAAGTTCTCTGAAAGACATGATTCGTGAGGTAACGCGCGGCATATGTCCCTGCCTTTCGACGTGGCATTAGCATGTTCGCTTCTTTTATATGACTACGCAAATATTGTGTCCAGATCATCAAGTAATTATTCAAACAAGGTGTATTAGATCATAACGGTTATAAAAGTAAAGTTCGAGTGTAGGACTCTTGTGCCAAACAAAATTAACAGTCGTTTACTATGCAAAAGCAAGACTCATAAACTGTAAATGGAAACAAATCGACAGGTATACGGTAATGTGCTCTTGATGTGGGTATATATATATATATAGTATATTTATATATATAATATATAGTTAGGTAATTATTTAACGAAAACTAATGTAATCTATTATGTAACAAAAAAATGCAGTTTTAATTTGAATTTATTAACACAACTGGTGGAAGTCTCCTTTTTTCAATCATGATGCACATTATTTAATTTGGTCATTTTGAATATTTTTTCTGGATCCATTTATCATTATGGGGGCGTGATGGAGGTCAGTTGTGGTTAATTTTAGTTTGTTGACTACATTGGTTTCTCCCTCTGCTCCATAGGAAGACCAGGTATCTGCGATTCAGTGGCGGCATGCTGTTTACCATAAGCTCGCTGCAGTCTGGTGGCCGTCGTTGCTCGGCTGCACTTTCCTTGGGTTGGGGACTCTATATCATTGAGGCGACGACTAATTTGCCAACAATGTCAGTGAGAGAGATATCCTATCGTTTCGACATCAAAAAGCGTAGAGATAATCTTCAGCTACTCTTCCTAAGCCAACTGCTCTCCTTTCTTCTTCTCCCCTCTCTCTCGGCTCACCTGTCCGATACTCCTCGCTCGCGGTCTCTTTCAACTTCCTTGCTCGGGGGTCACTTCCCGTCTCTTCCTC